CTTCTTAGTTCTCCAAATAACCAAGTTACCCCAAAGAAATATACAAGAACTTGTGGTAGATCTATCCCCCACTAAACTTAATTTGCATCGCTAAAAACTTCTAAGAGCAACCTGTTACTCTTTCTGAACAAGATCCCTTTACAAGTGACCTTTTTACGTAATGCAACACTTTGCAAGCTACTTGTAAGTGCATTTTTTTAGAATTGTGCATGAACTAACTTATAACATTTACTGCATATGCTTAATCTTTAGTTTTGTGAGGTACTCAGTCTCCTTACCAATCTTTGGTACATCCTCTTATCCACTAGCGTATCTTCTTTTGTCACTCCCGATTTATGATGGAGATCAATTGGAGTACTAATTGGTTTACATGCTAGCTTGTTAGTATCTCTTAATAGGTCATGAACGTAATTTTGTTAAGATATGAAGATTTCATAATTTGAACGAGCAACTTCAATTTCAAAAAAATACTTCAATTTATCGAGTTCTTTGCTTTCGAACTCTCTTATCAGGTATTGCTTTAGCGTCAATTTTTTTCTTTTCATCATCTCATGGTAAAATAATGTCATCAACATATATTAAAAGAGTTGTAACTCCCTCTATCTTTGAGAACTTGATAAACAAATTATAATGTTCCTGAGCCTACTTATATCCCAAGTCTACCATCACCCTTGCAAATTTGTCAAACTATGTCATAGGCGATTACTTGAGTCGATAGAGTACTTTTTTTTAGTTTACAAACTTTATTTGGTCCTGCTTCTCTGAAAAAACTTAATAAAATTTTCATATAGATTTCTTCTTCTAGATCTCCATGCAAGAATGAATTTTTCATATCAAAATTTTTGAAGTTACCAATCAAAAGTAGGCAATTAAAGACGCCAAGATTAAAACTATGTTCATCTTGGCTACTGTTACGAATATTTCTTGGTAGTCTATCCTATAAATTTGTTACCATCAGTCTTATTTTATATCTCTCGATTATTCCATCTGTCTTGTATTTGATTCTAAACACTCATTTGAATCCTACAATTTTTTATCCTTTTTGTAGGTCGACCACTTCCCATATTTACTTTTTCTCTTGTACCTGTAATTCCACATTCATAACATTTCCATTTCTTATAGGATAATACCTCATATACAATGTTAGAGATAGACTTAGTATTTAAACTTGTACCTATATTTTTATGGGTTTTTGGTCACTTATTAAATGATAAAAAATGTGATATAGGATAAAGAAGACGTTTTACGCATTTTCTGGTATCTTTACGAAGTGCAGTAGGTATATCATTGTCTCAGTTCCAGAATTAAGGTTCAATGATTGGACCGGCTTCGACTCAGAACCCAGATTCTTCTTCCTGTATACACCTACGTGAATCTGAAGTCATGTATGATTTCTTGAGTGGATAGTAACACTTTTACCCCTTTTTAAAGGAGAAGTATGTTGGAAACATACATATTAAGACATTGGGATCAAGTTTCCATCTTTGATAAAAGTAAATATGAATGAATGCTACACTCCCAAATATTTGAAGGATCACATGGTTTTGTAACACTTACTTTTTGGTAAAACTTGGAGAGCACTTATAGAAGACTTTTGAAATCTAGAAGACTCGAGAACAAATAGTTAATAAGGTAGGTAGCTGTAAGGACTGCTTTACTCCAATATTGTTTTTGGGACATCGTCTTGGAAGATGAAGGATTTAGTGGTGACTAGAATGTGATAATTCTAGCATTCCGCTATTTCATTTTATTATGGAGTGTGGATGTAAGATAATTCATGAACAATCCCTTCTTGGTAAAAAAATGATGAAAATATGTAATTAAAAGTCTTTGTATTGTTAGTTCGGAATCTTTTTACACATGTTCTAAATTGAGTTTTTATCATATTACAAAACCGATGTATTATGTGGTTGACATCTGATTTGGATTTGAGTAAGAAAAGTCATGTGACTCTAGTGCAATTATTAGTAAATAACATAAACCATCTACCCCTAAAATTATTAGAAATATAGGATGGTCCTCAAATGTCTTTTTTTAAAAAAAATAAAAAGTGTGTATTATATTAAGGCACTAAGGAGGTGTCACCCATTTACAAAAATTTACATGTTAGTAAGTAAATCTAAAATGATCCTAAAATCATTTATTATGTAAAGATCATGCCCCAAAACTAAATAACCAAAATACTGAAGCCACCTACTTCTAATTGTGACAATCTGTTCTTCCCTCCTCTCAAAAGCCCTATTGTTTCTCTCTTTCTAAATAACCTAAAATATAAAGAAAGGAATAAGACGGAATTCTTAAAAAGCCCCTCCCAAGCCAATAGCTCAAATTTCACTGACCCTGCCATAGTCCAATTGATTATGAATTAATGAAAATGGAAACATACTTCTTTTGTTGTCATTTAGAAATGTTACACACTTATATTTGGCAAATTTCACATACATCACAGTGTCAATTTTTATCAACTGAGTTTTTAAATAAAAAAGCAAACATAACCTTCAACATTGAAAAAGTTGGGTGTCAAAATCTTTTGCGGTAGAGTCAAAACTTCTCGATAGAGTTTGAAGTAGTGGCAGAGAAAGATAACTCAAGTGCGTCCAAGTAGTATGATCCATTTCAGGCTTCAGCATGCCCAATTGTCTTCCTCAAGTTCTGATCTTGAAAGTCACAGTGAAAAGGGAAAAAGGTAACACATTTTCTAGAACCAGAGTAGGACTAAACTTAATGTTGCCTGTTCCTGCAATAGTGTCTAGCGATCTCTCAGCAGCAACAGTTTTTCTACTCCTTGGACATGGAACATAAGTGTGAAAATATTTTGAAGAGTTGGTCATATGGTCAATGGCCCCTAAGTGTATAATTAATGACCTTTCAAAAGGTCAATCAAGAAACAAATGTGAGAAAGAAAACATACATGAGCATATTACCAAGCTTGTACCTACGGATTTTTGTGGATTAAGCGAAGTGGATTTTATATTAATAACTTCAGATGAAATCTCTGACATGACAACTAAATCCAATTAAATAGAGCAAAATTTAGGGATTACTGGGCTGAAACAGAATTTCTAAGTTGTCGTAGCTGAGGGCTAAGTGTGTGAGGAATTGTTTGTGCTTGTGGGCTGTGCGTAGCAAGCAGACACAGCCTGTGGAGGCTGTGCACCTGTTGACCGCATGCAGAAGGCCAGATGGCAGCTAGATAGATCGCATTGCTGAATAGAGGCACGGGTAGAGGCGCCAAATGCGTGGCCGGAGGCTCTGATTGGGGCTAGCACAGCAGAGGGCAGCTGCACTGTGACAGCTGTTTCCCGCCTACTATGGTAGCTATTGCAACAAGTCTACAGCTGGTGGTGCAGTTGGTCGTTGTGACTATAAGGGATAGTAGCTGGTGGCCCATGCTGCAAGGATTGGCCGTGGCTGTTTGCACGGTGCAGATCTGGCTGCTGGGAGGAGAAGCAGTAGAGGTTCGACCTGCGTACGGATAGATGCTGGTGAGGCAGGCAGGAGCAGCGGCAGGGCCGACTGGCCAGCATGCGGAAAAAATGATGGATGTGTCGCTGGACAGAGATGAACATGGCTGGAGGATTGTGGTGCCTGCAATGAGGCTAGTCTTGGAGCTAACAGCTGGATGGTGGTGGACGGCAATAAAGCTGGCCCCTTAGGATTTTGTGTTTTATTTCAGCAACAAAGGCCGACTACAGTTTGTGAAGGAGGTCTAAAGTTTTTTCCTAGAACTTTGATAATATGTTAAGAATGATTGAAGGTGAATTTTATTAAATATAACAATTCTATATATACAGGT